TAGAAAAACTCCCTATCAGGTACTATGCTTATTACCTGGGTGATAAAATAATCTGCACACCAACCTCCCCTGACACACAGTTTACCTTGTAACAAACCTGTACATGCCTGTAATCCCAACACTTTGAGAGGCTGAGGCAGGCCAATCACTTGTAGTCAGGAGTTCGAGACCAGCCTGGCCAACCAACATGGTGAAACCCCATTTCTACTAAAAATCCTATATATAGTATAGGCATGGTGGTGCACGCCTATAATCCCCGCTAGTCGGGAGGCTGAGGCATGAGAATTGCTTGAACTCAGGAGGCAGCAGAGGTTACAGTGAGCTGAGATCACGCCACTGCACACCAGCCTGGGTGACAGAGAAAGACTCCATCTCAAAAAAAAAAAGAAAAAACAAAACAAACAAACAAAAACTCGTGTTCACTCCTCTCAAATGTCATCTCTCACAATGTTCCTTCTCTTACTGAGGAACCATCATCCATATCTGTGCAAGCCAGGAGACCAGGAGTCATCCTTAATCCCTCCTTTTCCCTTATCAATCAGTCTCCACCTTCTGAGCACGTTTTACCTGTAACTTTCAAATTTGCCCACTCCTCTGTCTCTAGTACTTGGCTACTTGTGTCTACTCTCTCTACTACTCTAGCTACTCTCTGTCTCTACCCCAGCGACCCTATGCCAGGCTGCCACCATCGCATACTACAATTTCTTTATGACTACATTGTCTTCCTGGTTGGTCTTCTCACTTTCATTCCTGTCCTTCTCCAGTAAATTTTTTCTGTCTTCTACCAGAGCAATCAGCAATCTTCCCGCTAAATGCAAATCTGATCACATCACTCTCCAGTCTAACCTTCAGCATCCTGTTCTTAACAAAGCCTCAAGGGTTAGGGCTAGGATTAGGGTTTTCTATTTTTGTTTTTTTCCTCCAGTATTATCTCACATTGCCCGCTTTCAGTGATTCGGCCCCAGCTGCAGATTACAGCCCCTCCCATGTTCTTTCTCCCCAAGAGGTCTCTGTGTAGACTGTTTCCTCTGCCTCTTTTGCTGTCCTCACTTCACTCCTCCTAATCCCTGCTACTTCCTCTCCATCCGATTAACTATACTCTAAGACCTTAGTCACACTGCTCACTTCATTGGAGCAAATTTCCATGATTTTCCTAGACTAGCTCATAGTCTTCTAATATAGCCTTTCATGTCATCCTTCATCTCTCCTTTAGAGAACATATCACTTGTAAATTTTACATTCAGATATCAATTATTAATTAATGTTGGTCTTCTTATCTATATGGCAAGCATGAGGAAATTGTGTGGTTTTATTCACTATTTTACCTCGTTATGGATTGAATGTTTGTGTCCACCTCCCCACCAAATTCTTGTATTGAAACCCTAACCACCCGTCTGACTGTGCTTTAGTCTTCTCAAGCTACCATAACAAAATACAGGCTGAGTATCCCTTATCCAACATGCTTGAGACCAGAAGTGTTTTTGATTTTTATTTTATTTTTAATTTTGGAATATTTGCATTTTACATACCAGTGGACATCCCTAATCCAAAATCCAAAATTTTCCCTTGGAGAGGGTATGGGGAAGGCGGGGATGGTTAATGGGTTAAAAAAAATAGTTAGAAAAAATGAATAAGGCCTATCTGATAGCACAACAGAGTGATTATAGTCAATGATAACTCCATTGTGTATTTTAGATAACTTGAAGAGTATAATTGGTTTGTTTGTCATTCAAATAATAAATACTTGAAGGGATGGATACCCTATTCTCCATGCTGTGCTTATTTCACCCTGCATACCAGTATCAAAATGTCTCTTTTACTCCATAAACATATACACCTTCTATGTACCCACAAAAACTAAAAAGAAAATTTTTTTAATGCTTCCAAAATCATTTCCTTGGAGCAGGGTGTCCAATCCTTTGGTTTCCCTGAACCACATTCAAAGAAGAATGGGCCACACATAAAATACACTAACATTAATAATAGCTGATGAACTAAAAACCAAAAATCAAAAACAAATGAACAAAAACCAAAAAATTCAAATCTCCTAATGTTTTATGGAAGTTTATGAATTTGCGTTAGGGCTGCATTCAAAGCTGCTCTGGGCTGCATGTGACCCCTGGGCTGCGGGTTGGACAAGTTTGTCTCAGAGAATGACATTAAAGCATCATGTCCATGCTCAAAAGGTTTCAGATTTTGGAGCATTTCAGATTTCAGATTTTTGGATTAGGGATGCTTAACCTGTAGACTGGGTGCCTTAAACAAGAAAAATTTATTTTCTCATACTTCTGGAGGCTGAAAAGTCAAGATCAAGGTGCCAGCATGTTTGAGTTCTGGCGAGGGTCCTCTTCCTGGCCTGCAGATGCCACCCCTTACTGTGTCCTCTCACAGCCTTCCCTCAGTGTGTGGCCATAGGAAGAGAGTGGGGTCTTTCTTTCTTACCTTTTTTATAAGGTCACCTATCCTATCAGATTGGGATCCCATTCTTATGACCTCATCTAACCTTAATTACCTACTAAAACCCTCGCCTCCAAATACAGTCACACTGGGAGTTAGAGCTCCAGCATGTAAATTGGGGAAGGAGGGAACACAATTTGATCTGTGGCTGTGTCTGGAGATAGAATCTTTGGGAGGTAATTAAGATTAAATGAGGTCAAAAGAAGGGGTCCTGATCTGATTGAACTTTGGCCTTATCAAAAGAGGAAGGGAGAGTTTATTCTCTCTTCTCTCTCTCTTTCCCTGCTCCCCCACAGAGTGAGGACACAGGGAGGAGAAGGTGGCCATCTGTAAGCCAGGAATAGAAATCTCACCAAAACCACCCTGATGTTGAACTTTTAGCCTTCAGAACTGTGAAAAAAATAAATGTCTGTTGTTTAAGACAATCAAGCTATGATATTTTTGTTATGGCAGCCCAAACTAAGCTATGTCTTTGGTTCGCAGCATTGATATATAAAGTTTTTTTTCTGTAAATTCTGTTGAATGAATGAATCAATGAATCAATGCAAAAATGAATGAATGAATATTGACAGACCCTATGTGGGTCATTCCCTTTGAGGATTCCAAACTGTGGCTTATTCTGGACTTTTGACCAAAGTGTAGCCCACCTGTTACAATTTTGGGCAAAGCACTTTTCTCTCTGGGTTTAAGGAATCAAAACTGGGCATGTCATTGATTCTCGGAATTGTACTGCAGGCTATAGCTGGAGGATTCTTCATCCCAGGCTTGGAGAAGGGGACCCATGTCTGGAATCTTCTTGGTTCATCTTCAAGTACACCTAATTGAGATATCTGTGGAGAGAGATAGCAAAGGAGGCAGATGAGGAAACTGTAATGCTACCACATGATTCATTTTTACTGTCAATTGTCTTTCTTCCTTAGTAATCATACCTTTTCCCTGTCACCCTCAAGATGGGACTTCTCACAAAACCCAATACCAGAGTAAGACCTCTAGGTCTGACTTACTCTGCAGACACATCTGTCTAAGCTGATAAGCTTCCCTGAGAAAACAGGAGCTCCTTAGAAATGAATACTGGGATGTTCAGGAGCCTTCTTTGTCTAGTCTGATGAAGCCCCTTCAAAGAAACAGAAATCGTTGGCACATCCCATCTCTTGGCATCAGACAGCAGGTAGCTCAAACTGAAGAAGAAATTTCTGAACCTCTGGAGACATAGATGGAGGGAGGGCTGAGTTTGAAGATTTCAAAGTCATGGCTGTCTTTGGGAATTTCTCAGAACAAAGGCACTGAGGCTATTCAGCAGATTTTCTTTTCTTCTTTTTGGTTTTCTCTCCTTGCTTTTTATGTTGCCTCTTTCCTTCCTTCTCAAGCTTTTCTGTTATTTTTTTCCTTTTATCTTCCAACTTTTTCTCTCTGCCCTTCTGACCTTACTTTCTCCATGTACTGAACTTTCTACCAGTTTCAATTTTGAAACTTTTTTGGAAATGTGGCTACTAACAGTTCATTGGAAGGTATTGGTGCAAATGGAATATTGGACAAGGGGTTAGAAGGCTTGACTCTGCTACTTCCTATCTTGGAGCAAGTCATATATTGTGTTTTGGGGCTTCAACGTCCCCTCAATAAAATGGGTTTATGTTGCTAAGTGATCGACACATCCACAGTACTGTTGTTGTGTCTCCTAAGATACTGTGTAACCTTTGCTGCCACTGCCCTGGTTCAGGCCACCATTGCCTTTGGCTGGCTACTTCCAAAGCATCAGTCCAGGCCTCCTTTCCTCCCTCAATTTGGATTCTCCATACTTTAGTTAGTGATTGTTTTCAAAGTGACTTAACTTGAACACAGCAATTTCCTGTTTAAAACCTTTTGGTGATTACCTTTTGCCATTAGGATACAATTTATACTCCTAAGTGTGGCCTACCAGATGTCCTTTTCACTCCAACCTCATCTCTTTGCAAGCTCCCTTGCAACTACCATAAATTACTTTCCATGGCTCAAGCACCACGCTTCTTCTGGCTTCAGATCATCATACATACTTTTCCTTCCATCCAGGATGCTGTCTTCTCTGGTCTATCCAACATCACCCTGATCCTGCTTTCTTTACTAATTCTTACTCATCCTTAAGGTCTCATCCTAAATATTGCCTCCTTCTGGAAGCCTACCTTGATTCTCAGATGGGTTAGTTGACCCTTTTCAGTGATCCTCTGGAATTTTGTACTCTTCTATTGCAAAACTATTGTACAATGTTAGAATTGTCTAGATATGTCTCCTATTGAAATAAGAATTACTTGAATAATGAATTGTGTCTCACATTTCACTACCAAGCCCTCTAGTCTCAAGGGCCTAGAGCAGTATCTGGAACATAGTAAATGTTGAATACATAAGTATGTAATCCAACAGATACGTCTGTGGTTAGACTGATAGGTTGTGATTCTGTATCTTCAATGGGTCAGGGAGGGAGTTTCAAAGAATTAGGGTGGCCAGGCCTAGTGCTCTAGGGGCTGAGGGTGGGCTCAAGCCCTAACCTCAGCTCCATTGCTACCTTATAGCAGCAGCTGAGGTGACTCAGGAGACAGTGGAGTCCCTGATGCAGAAGTTCAAGGAGAGTTTCCGCGCTAACACGCCCATCGAGATCGGTCAGCTGCAACCAGCCCTGCGCAGCACGTCGGCAGGAAAGAGGAAGCGGAGGAGCAAGTCTCGAGGTAGGCCCTCCTGGCACATCTGGCCAGGAAGTCAGAAGGCTGTTCACTGATTCCAAAGATGCTAGGAAGATCTGTGCCTTCTTCCCTTGCTTCCCTGTGCTTATAGAACGTGTGCCACTCTCTCCCTGATCAATCCCCTTGGAGGCTGAAGACCTATGCTCCCTACACCCAGAACTAACCTCTCTGAGCCCCAAGTGCCTCAGCTGAGAATGAGAATGGATCGTATAAATTTTACAGTGACTGAGATGAGCAACTATATATGGAAAGTGTGTAACACCAGGACCTCTGCAGAGTAGATGTTCTTTACATTGTCGCTGGTCAGAGAGTACAAAGTGGCAGAGCTTTCTAGTAGGAGACATCCTTAGACTGGGAGCCAGAAACAGGGATCTGAGCCTACTTTTTAGTAGGCTGAATAACATAATGATCAAGAGTGATATTGTAAATTAGATAGAATTAATTCAACTTTTGTTTCTGCTGCTACCTAGCTATCTCACTCAGGGCAAATCCCTCTACTTCTCCAAGCCACTCTTGTCTCACAGGGTTGTAAGAATATCTCAGCACAGTTCCTAACCCAGCAGTTGTTAAAAAGCAGATATTTTCTTCCTGCTCCTTTTCCTCACGGATGCTGCTGCTGCTACTTCTCCTTCTCTTCTCCTCCTTCTCCTCCTTCTCCTCCTTCTCCTCCTTCTCCTCCTTCTCCTCCTCCTCCTTATCCTCCTTATCCTCTTTTTCCTCCTCCTTCTCCTTCTACATCTCCTCCTTCATTTTTATCTCCTCCTACTTCTCTTCCTCCTTCTCCTTCTCCTCCTCATTCCTTCTTTCTTCTTCTACTATCTATGTGACTTTGTATATGAAAGAAACCAACTTGTCCCTGCTTAATTTCCAAACCATTTTTTTCTATCCACTCAGTAGTCTCCAGCTGAGTAGACAGAAAAGGTAGTAGTCTCCTCTTCTTGCATCTCACTTCTCCATTTCCTGTAACTTGGCTCTGATCAGGTCATCCCCCTTTTCCCACAGCTTCAGTGGTTATCTAGCACCTTCAGACATGTTCAGGTTATGAAGATGACACTCAAAGCCACACAGGGCTCTGGTCTCCACTGTCTTTCCTAGATTGATGTGCTCTGTCCTCAGTGCTCTTTCCCATGCCATCTGTCTGCGTGAAACCACCTCTCTGGCCCCTAAGGGTAATTGTTGGCACTTATTGACACTTAACTTATTCCAAGAAGCAGGTTAAATGATGTACACATCTTATCTCATTTGATTCTCACAGCAACCCTATGAAGCAGATACAGTGGTAATTCCCATTTTACAGATAATTTCACTAAGGTACAAACAACTATTGTAATCTGTCCAAGGGGACATTCTAGTAAGTTGTGGGGCCAGGGAGAACCCAGCAGTCTGATTCTCAAACCTTTTAACTTAACCACTATGTACTGTTATGTTGGTGCTATTACTTTTGCACCAACCTAATACACTAATGAAATTCTACCTGTCTTTTCGAGCTTAACATGCATGGCACATTTCTATGAAGACATTGTTGATTCGCAGTCACAATTCACTCTGAATCCTCCCAGCTTTCCTTTATACATGTATTAAGCACTAGATTCATTTTTGTGTGATATAATTTTCTTTTGTCTGGCTCTTTCCTTAGCTAGACAGAGAGTTCTTTGAAGGTAGAGATTGTCTTAATATTTTACATTCCTGGCCTAAGTCAGTGTCTGACACATAATAGATGTTTGCTGTCTGTTGAGAGGATGTCTAATTCTTAATCTTGTAACATCTTGAATCCTGTAAAAAAATGAAGCTCTACATGTTAAGCTGTGAGGTCATAAGTTGAGGCAGAAGAAAATGATGGAATTCATTTTGGGAACTCCCATGGCAAACCCCAGGTTTAAACCATTTTGTAGTGATGCAGAGTAGTCACCTTAAAGTCAGAGAGGTCTGTGTGCTAGTCCCTGCCCAAGTTAATTTTAACTTGCATGACTTTGGAAGTGTCATTGGTTCTCCCTGAACCTCAGTTTCTTCTTCTATAAAATGAAGATACCAAGCCCTACATCAGAAGATTGTTGTGAAGACCTGATAAAAGGCTGAATGTAGACCACCTTGGAAAGTTCAGATGGCATGCATCAGGAAATGAATACATGCTATCTTATGTTTGTTCTGGGTGAGGCATTTAGGGTTACTTGAAATTTCATATAGCTTTACCTATTCATCTTTACCTCTTTATCATTCACCAGAAATTCCCCTCCTAAGTCCTCTCTGCACATACATACTCCATAAACACTCTTGACTCCAAGTCTGTAGCTTTTTCCCCTTCATTACCAACCTGAATTCATTTTTTAACATTACATTCTAAACATTTTTATGTCAATGAATTTTTCAAAAATATTATTTTTATGCACCATAATTTTCTTCACTAAGCCCCTACTATTAGGCATTTGGGCTGCTCCTAGTATTTCATCATGATAAACAGTGTCACATAGAAAGTATTTTTGCATAAAAGTTGGCACTTACTTTAACATGTTTCCCCTCTTAGAGAAGAATTTCATAGTCAGACTATTAATAAAAATATGTCTTAAGTTATTTTAATTTACAAGTTAGCTGGGGTCTCAGATAACTATGCATGAAGTAATTTATTTGTATCTCTTCCATATCTGACCTTCCTCTTTGTCACCATCATGACCACTGTCATTTATTAACTGCTCCTTACAACTCTACCCTCCTTGCATTCAGTCTCCTCAAAACTACCAAAGCAATCTTTTAGAAAGATAAACCAGAGAAAGCCCCTCCCCTGCTTAAAATCCTTTGACAGTTTTCTGTTATTCTTAGAATATGATCCAAACTCTGCACCTTGGCTTGCGGATCTGGCTCTGGCTCCTGCCCTCTTTTCGAACATCATTTGCTCTGCACTTCCTTGTGCTCCAGCCAAACTGGCTTCCTTCATGTTTCACGAGCACAGCAAACGGTTCCTTCTTTAGCATCTGAGAACTTGTTCTTCCTTCTCCTTGCCATGCCTCTTTCTTTCCCCCAGCTGCTCTCCTAGCCAGCCCCTTCACGCCTTTAAAATGTCAGCTCCTAAAAACCAACTTCCATGACTACCCAATCTACACTTTTGCTCCTTTCAGTCCCCAACCTGCTACTATCTCTTACGTCATCCTTTTTTTTTTAACTTCTTTCACAGTAGTAGTTCAGACTAAAATTTTTAAATTTTTGCTTGTCTTCTGTCCTCTTCTCTAAAATATAAGCTTCATATTTATAAATCTAACGCATAGAAATGGCTTAATAAATTTTTTTGAGTAAATGAGTGTATTAACATCAAAGATCACTGGAAAATGGCTCAGCTTTATAACTTTCATATTGATGGTGCAAGAGGAATCTGTGATAAACCAAGGCCTCCTGGTACCGATGCCCAGAGAATTCTATTCCCCTCTTAGACAGACTCACTGACAAGTAGCACAGTAAATGTGCTCAAGTGGATGTTATTAAAGCAATTTCCAAAACAACTTAATCACAATGTGCTTGTGATTTTGCTGCTACCATGGGATACAATTTCTGCAGGAGAAGAGTAAGGACAGTATATGTCACCCCTATACTTCCAAACTTACCCAAGACAGCCCATCAAGATTTTCTTGGACAAAAGAATTTCATGATTTAAAAAAAAAAAAAAAGTTGGAAATTCTCCACCCTCCTCTTTTTCTTGAAGATTCTTGAATGAATCTTAGTCTATTAAAAACTCTGAGAAGTCCTGCAGTACAGAAAGCTGGGCTGCTTTGTTTAACTCGATGTCTTGATACTATATTGACTGCAAACTCTTATTACTCCCACTGGAACATTTATTAATGACTTGTGGAACAGAAACATCTATAGGAACACAATTTTGGAAATGTTCCATTAGCCTCTAAAATCCCAAATAGGTTGGTCTGAATCCTCTGTCTTTCACTGTTTCTGCCCTCCCCTGCCGTTGAGGTTGCCGTGGGCTGCCTGGTCCAGATTGGGAGCACCTGCCCTCTTTCTGCTTCCTTAGGCCTCACGCCTGGGCCATGGTGCCCACTAGTTCCCAACAGATGGAGTAGGTAGCCGAGAACCAGTGCCATGGAATTGAGCACGTGGTTAAAAGCAGCTCCAAGGTATTTGTGTAGCTATGGCTTCCTCCTGAGATGCCTGGTGGAGGCTGAAGTGCATCATTCTTAGTCAGACAGAGGAAGGCTAGTGGAGATTTGAACTGCTGACTTCATGTTAGTGATGGGATTTTATGAGGCCGCTGTTAAGGAACCACTCCCCAGCCTCTCATGTGCAATATAAAGGGGAGTGGTATTAACATAAAGCAGAGGAGGATTTCTTCGCATGTGCAGAAGAAATTCCATGGGTTCATTTAGTTTAGGTAGTGGTTTTTGAAAGCAGGACTTCGTATTTGAAATTTAATTCCACCATTGACTAACTAAATGCTCTTAAGCAAATGAAAAAGAGCTCTGTTTTCACTTCTGGAAATAGTGCTAATAATACCAACATCACATGTGGGTTGTGAATTAATACCCAAGAGATGCTTAGCCCAGTGCCTGTCCCATGTTCCACCCTCAGTAAGGACTAACTAGTACAATCACTGTCATCCAAGGCCTGCCCATTGGCCTACAGAGTCTCATAAATCCATCTTCGCCTTCCTGAGCCATTGCCTCTAGCTTGGTTGAGGCCTCCTTGTCCCTCATCCAGATTCCTGCAGCAGCCTTGTCATAGATGAATGTATGCTCCACCCTAGCATCTGGGTGATCATTTGAAAACACACTAAATTTGGCCATGTTCCTCCCCCACCTAGAACATTGTCCTGATTTTCTGTCACTTGCACTGGAGGCTTCTTGAGCTTCTTGAAGTCTTCTTAAAGGCAGATGAAAATGAACTTAACCCCAAAGGGTCTGCAGCTATGCTCAAAGGAATCTGTCCACATTTCAGGTTCATCTTTTAAAAGATCATGCCATTTTATTTCATAGTATATGCATGTTTATTTT